GGCTTGTTTTACAACGTCGTTGCCAAGCGACGAAAACCCAACCCCGATGGCAAACACCGGGGGAGGCGGCTTGGATCAGTACGGGCATACGAAGGTACTGGGTAGCGAGAGATCGGAACGGTTTTTAACGTGAAGACAACAACAACAACAACAACAACAACAACAAGACCTCATTCAAACCAGCCGGGTCATCTACCATTTGTCTATCCACTCGTTTGCCGACAATGACGCACGCATGCAATTCTTCAAAAGAAAATGCCTCTAATAGAGACAATCACCCACCGCCCCCAAAGACGCATATACCTCACTCAAACCATTGACCCATCTACCGTAAGGATGCCGTTCTTGGCACGGATCGGTGTCTCGGTACACTCTGTTTGATAACAACCTGATAACGAAAAATAAATGAAAGACGAACCGCACAGCGGTGTGCCAAGCAATAATATTAGATGCAGTCCCTGGGGACGCACATAAGCCATGCACCCACACCGTTTTTTACCGACGGAACCACCCAATCAAGAGCGACCTAGGCCTACACCAACCTATTAATAGCACTTTCTCACGTCAACACCAACGTAGCACCTATCCAAGCCTACCAACCTAGGTCAATCGCATCATCACCAACCTAGCACCTATCCAAGCAGTAACCTCGAGATTATCCCATCAATACCAACCTAGCGCCAATGCCGGCACACCAACCTAGAACTGAGCCACCCAGCGCCAACCTAGCACCTATTGGGTGGGGTTGGGGTTAGGTTTTTTAGGGTGTAGCGTGAGGGATTGCAGCCGGTTTCATGTAGTTGCAGGTTGAAGAGGCAGAACACTGCGCCTGTCAGTAGAGCGACAGGTGGAAGAAACGGATACATGTTCGTGACGCTCGTTCCTCACACAGTATGCCCGTGGTGATAATATGGTGTGGGTGCGTTTATATGCGTGCCTTTGGGTGCATAAATAAACAAAATCCTGAGAGCAGGCGAGGAAAGAGACGAAGCTATCTTCAGAAATGGTTAAACAGTAAAAACTCCCTCNGTATGTCCGTCGGTGATAAGGTGTGGGTGCGTTTATATGCGTCCCTTTGGGTGCATAAATAAACAAAATCCTTAGAGCAGGCGAGGAAAGAGAAGAAGCTATCTTCAGATATGGTTAAAAAATAAAAACTCCCTCGCCGGGAATTGAACCCGGATCTCATCGGTGAGAGCGATATATCCTAACCATTGGACTACGAAGGAATGGTACATAACATATCGTGTTCGCGGAACATTTATTGTACCAGGAGCGCTTGTCGGTGCCCCGCTGCTACTGCATACTATCCCAGTTATATATACATACATACATATTTTTTTCTCCCATCATCGGATTCTGTCGTCTGCCCCTCTGGCCCCAATCCTCCACTTCTACTAGCTAGACGACCCAACAGGGGTCACATAGGAGGGGTGGGCTGGACCCCCTCCTGCGGTTCCTGCCTGAGGTGTTTTCATCGCGAGAAGGGTACAGCAATCCCTCCCCTCGCGACTTACGAAGTCGATTAGTCTATGGTTTACTAACAACGAGCTTTGCAACGCGTCGCTTTCATCCTAGACCAGGATATATTTAGTGAGAAAAACAACTCACTCTGCCGGGACTCGAACCCATGACCTGGCCGTTAGCAGGCTGCGAGGTTACCCACTAGAAGACCACGGGGGCGACCGTATGCATCGCCCCGAAAACAGTTCTCACTCCAAGCAAACGAAACGCACGTGGTTTCTTTCCTATATGTTGATATGTTTTTCTCCTGCAAGAGACCGAAAATGAATGCACGGGTATTTACAGACAAGCCTGGCGACGAGGCGCGGCGAGCATGTTGTTTGTTCTTTTCCAGTCCCCACACCAACATACATGCAGCGCCCGCGTTGGTGTTTTTTTTTTTTCCTTCACCAGAAATGAACGCAGGTAGGCCTAATTGTAGAGAGAAGAGACGCCGCAGGCGTCTTATTTCTTCGTTTCCCGGCCCCACCCACACCACACGCGCACCGCTCCGTTGAGATTCTTCTATTCTTTTCTTCCCAATTTGTTCTTGTTCGTTTATTCCTCAACCACAAATGAACGTAGGTAGGCCTGGAGAACGGGGTGCGGTACCCTCTTGCCGCGAGGCACCGCGGGATAGACCCCTGGCTCTTCCTCGACCTCAGGGCGGCCAGGAAGTGGGTGCTGAACAACAGCGATGGCATGGAGGTGCTCAATCTGTTCAGGTAATGTTTGACTTGCGGGCGTGACGCTGTACTCGTTGGGGGTAGGTACCAGCGGCGATCGTGAAGGAGTTTTTTTTTTTCTTGAACGTAACGGATACTCCCGGTGGTGCTGTTTATTCGTCTGTTTTTTTTAGAGAATATACTCTATATTCAAAGAGAGATTGCCCTTTTTTTCGAAATAGTACGTACCATAGCCGCCGAAGCTTTTTTTTGTTTAGTTTTTGGCGGGGGCGGACGTTGTCTATGAAACGGTGCTCCTTTCCGAACACATTTTCATCCCCCCCGTTGTTATTGTCCAGCTACACTGGAGGGATTGCTGCCGCGGCGGCGTGCGGGGGAGCCGCGAGCGTGTGGAACGTCGACTTCTCCGCTAGCGCCCACGAGGTACGGCGGGAGTGAAGCTGCTGCTTTCGCTGGTGTTGGTAGTACGTGTATGTGTGTGGCTGTTGGTAGGGGTGGTGGTGACGGTGTTGTTGTTGTTGTTGTTGTTGTTGTTGTTGTTGTTGTTGTTGTTGTTGTTGTTGTTGTTGTTGTTGTTGTTGCTTTTGTTGGTGCCGATGGTGTCTTCGTCGTTCTTGCCATAGTCATCCTCTTTTTTGGTCGTTCTTTTCGTCGCCGTTGCCTCGGTGTTCGTCCTTATCGTTGCCGTTAAAGTGGTCCCAGTCTCTGTTTTTTTCTGTCCTTGGATACAAAGTGTTGGGGCGTTGGTGTTCTCTTGCCACAAGGACGCCGCGCAAGTTGTGATCGTTTCAGTTGATCAACAGAAATGGAACTCAGGCGATTTCTCAGTCCTGCGGGGACCACCACGGAAGGTCGAGAACACCTCCGGCGACGCAATTCCCCGATGAGAAATTGACCACTTCCAGGGTGGAGAAGGGCTCACCATTTCGTTTCGAAATAAAAGAGAGTCAAATCGTTCCCTGTGTGTACATTCAACCTGCCTCTTTTCTTCGAACAAAAGACGAGTGTGTTCGAGACTGTTTCTGCCACAACACACTGTTCCTTCCTCCTCCCTGCTCCGCCCTCTCGAGGACGCGTGTTCCAATGGCCTAACAACTAAGGCATGCAAATCGTCGACCCCCCCCCCCCCCCCCCCCCCCCCCCCCCCCCCCCCNCCCGGCTTTGCAAATGTTCTAAATATTTTGCGACTACGGCTGCACGGCTACAAGTACACCCCCCCCCCCCCCCCCCCCCCCCCCCCCCCCCCCCCCCCCCC